GGGTGAATACCCACTTCGTCGGATGCATTCACTCACGAAAGCTTATGCTCCAATACATCTGTTAGTCTTAAAGGGGCCACAGGACTCTCCGTTGCTTTTTACAGATCCATACTAACATGGCTACCCCTCTGATACATTTATTTAGTGTTGTTCTGCGTAGGTAGCACATTACATCTGTGCTCTAGAACTGCACAGGCTTCCAACCAGTTTCTAGATACATTCAAACTACTAGGTCCCATCTTTATGGTTTGAGCTATAGTTATCTATGAAACTATCTCCATTCTTTGAGTGATGCTGCAATAACTGAGATCAACAGGGCTATCTGAGTTTACTGTCCATAGATTTATAGATCAGTGGACCACAGGAAGGGCACTCTCAATGAAGAGCCCTTTAGCCATCGGAATTTTTTCCATCCCTATCAATTTTTTGTCCCTCCCTCCCCACCACTACACATTTATTCAGTCTTTTTCTTAAGCAGGGTGGATTGAGAGAGGATGGTTTTGGTTGAGTGAAGATGCTCCCTGCAATTTATTTTGGGCACTATGTGCATTTAATTGTTTTTGAAATGCTTGTACATCTAAAGAATAAAAGTTGGCTAGTCAAACACTTTTCAATAGGCAAGCTGGCTAGTCAAATGCTTTTCAATAGGTACTGATTCATAAAATAAGCATTAACATTCTCTCCAGATGAGGTAGACGGTAGGAGATCTAGCGGAAGACACAGATGTTGAAGTGCTGGAAAAAAATCAATCAGTGGTGGCTCAATTTCCATACAGTTTCTAGTTTGACAAAAATAACTTATGAGAGCAGGTGTCCAGATTTATTTTGAGCCCTGGTGAGTTGATTATTCTTACTCAAACTCCTGACCTGCAATATCATAGAACTGTAATTCTAGAAGCCCAATAACTGTATGCGGCTGCATGAACAAACCTCCCTAGAGAGCACTGCTATCCAGATGCTGGGCCATGTGACTCCAAGAAACTCACACACACCCCATTGTCTATATCCCCGCCCCGCTGGAACAGATCACTTCCTGTTTAGTCTGTGTTTCTATAAAACTTCCTCCTGCATAGCAGTGGTGACACACAGGGACACATTAGAACAATACTGAGTTTGCAATAATGAGAGAAACGTTTATTTTTGTGCAACAGGCACAGCATCTTGTTTGTGCCAATAAAAGCAAACAGCCAATTTAGAACAGGTATCACGTGACAAATTTAGTAGCAAAAAAGTGGTGAAAAAAGGAATGAAAACCTTGTCCATACTTAAAGCTAACCCCACACAACAATTGTAATGTAACCTACTACATGCACCTCTGTGTGCTGGTCCTGTGTACAGAAAGTGAAGAAAAAGTGAGCAGATCAGAACAGGGAGACACCCTTCTAATATATGTACTTTACAGTTCTCAATCCTAATGTCAATCCCTTGCCACACCTACTAGGTCTGTGATGTGCAGTTTGTCACATGCCCCTTTGCTACGTGCATGCTTGCTCTGTGCAATAAATTAACAGGTGAAAAAGAGACACTGCCCTCTAAGATTTGGCTCCAAGATCAGATGAAAAACCTCAGCACACCCCTTTTGGGAAGCTGTCTAAAATAATGCTGCCATACTCTAGCTCACAGATCTACTGAAATTCAATACAAATTTCATTACGTCCAACTGCCAAGATGACAAGATCCTCATCTTTCCCAAATAACCCTATGAAGTACGGTACACTATGCTTGGACAGGGCTAACAAACAAGAGACCTCTTCAATGCAGAAGAAGTTTGCAATCGGTGTTTCAGTCAGAGATCCAACAATGAGACGACAGGAAGCTGTAATTGGGATGACTCCAATCACTAGAAAGCTTTCAAATTGTACATCATTTTAATCATCTATAGCAGGGGTTCTCAACCTTTTTCTTTTCAAGCCCCCCCCAACATGCTATAAAAACTCCATGGCCCACCTGTGCCACAACTGTTTTTCTGCATATAAAAGCCAGGGCCAGCATTAGGGGATAGGAAACAAGGCAATTCCCTGGTGCCCCATGCCATAGGGGGTCCGGCAAAACTAAGTTGCTCAGGCTTCGGCTTCAGCCCCGGGTGACAGGACTTGGAGCCCTGGGCTTCAGCCCCAGGTGGTGGGGGCTTTAGCTTTCTGCCCTAGGCCTCAGCAGGTCTAATGCCAGCCCTGCTTGGTGGACCCCCTGAAACCTGCTTGCAAGCCCCTGTGGGCCCTGGGCCCTCACTGAGAACCACTGATCTATAGCACAGCAGGATGATGGCAGAATACAAATACTAGAACTATGAATCTCTCCCCCTTCCTTCCTCAGTAGTAGTAGCTGGATGAACCAAAAAGGGGAAAGGAACTGCTGATAAACGTTTACAGGAAGCAAATTCTGATGACCTAGCAGATTTCTAAAGAAGTTTGTGAGGGTATGTCTTCACTAGCAATGTTAAACGTGGTTAAACGCAACACCAGCGCTGGGAGAGAGCGCTGTAAAAAACCCACTTCCACGAGGGGAGTAGTACCAGCACTCCCAGCTGGTGCGCAGTCTACACTGCCACTTTACAGCGCTGAAACTTGCAGCACTCAGGGGTGTGTTTTTTCACATCCCTGAGAAAAAAAGTCGCAGCGCTGTAAAGTGGCAGTGTAGACAAGGCCTTAGACTCAGTCGAAAGGCAACTGAATGGTGTAACCGGTAGCTCTATCTCTAGCTGCCTGTGACTAGATGCAGTGTGCACCAAAGTCAGGGCATCAAGGAAATTTGAGGCTACAACATATGTAGAAACCCTTCTAGAACTTCAGGCAATAAAAGGGTTACTTTGTAAATTTCAGCTGGAAACGTCACCCTTCGGTGCCACCTGCCAGATGTCTAATGGACAGTCCCCTGCCCTTAGCTGGGCATGTGTCACTCATTAGGGAACCATTAAAAGGGTTAGAGAGCAGCAGCAGGCACTCAGCAAGAAGAAAGCAACATCATCCCAACATCCATCTTCATTTACAGCAGCTAATTCTCAGTTAGCAAATCAGACTGAAAGCCTCTACAAAGGAGATAAATTAAGTCTTTAGAAAGACAGACGCGTGTCAGTGCTACCTATTTTTTAGAATTCACTAAAAAAAAAAACCCACCAAGAATTGTACTTACAAAAAAGCACGTCCAGTTCATACAATAGAACTGCCTGCCCCACACATCTCCTGCTCAGAGAGAATATAATTGTTTGGTCTTTAAAAGGGTAAGGGCTCTTCACAGCACTTCAGGCCCGCTGACAGTTTCTATAAAAACAGCAGGTGTCTTGGCTGGGTCTCAGCATTAAGAACCTTGCCAGAAACAAAGGCCTGCATACAGGGATATTTATAATTTATGCCTGCATTGCTATGTAGAGACTCGCTTGGAATCTGCTCCAGGACTCCAACTTCTTGTCTGACGGAGACCAGGAAAGGGTGGGAGACAAGGAATAAAGCAGCAGCAATGACAATACTCTTGCTTTCCAAGGAAGGGCTTGAGAACCCACTTATTAGCACCTAATGAAGCAGCACATGCTTCAGTGTTCTTCCCCTCTCAAAACAGAAGCTCTGGAAGTTGCCATAACAGGTAAAGTAGAGAATGGCTTTAGAGTGAGAGAAAGTGGAAGGCAGACAAAGGACCAGGAACTAGAAGTGGGTAACTGACAAAAAGCTTCAAAGTTTATGCTTTGTACTCCCTATTAATGAAGCAATTATATCATGATCCTGCTGAGAGTTCTCCACACAGACTTAAAAGCATAGCTGTCTTTATTTTAAAAATATTTAATCATCTGTAAAATGGGGATAATATTTAGCTATCTCAGAGGAGTGAGGATGGATTAATTAATGGCTGTGCAGAACACGAAAACACAAAGTGCTGAATAAATGCTAATGTATTATGCTTTGGACAACAGTATGGTACATAGCTGACAAAATGGTATATGAGGTTGTGTTTGTTTTTTAAAAAAGCAATAAAGCAGAGTCTGGTAGCTGTTCAGAGAACAGAATTACCTTGAGAGCCAGAACTATTTGGATCTTTGCATTCTTGAAGTAGCTCATTGATCTGTTGGAACTTGGCAAAAAATAGTGTTTCTGCTCAACTGAACTGAACTGCAAGGGCACAGCCCCAGCGTGTTGAAGGATTTGATCAGATTGCACAGAGTGATACACTGACACAATGGCATCGCTTTGATGGCAGGAATATGGAGAGAATTCTAACAGCAGCCCAGAACAGCCTGATGGTTAAGGGAAAAGCTGCCCATTCTCCCTGTAACAAAGGGGAATGATGGTTAAGTGCCAAGAAGCATCACATAGATGATGGCATCTCTGCATCTAAACCACATCAGGCAAAACTTCAGGCAATTCACTTGGGCAAGACTTACATTCTGGGATGAGGTTTTAGCTACTTAATTACTCGACAAGATTAAAGGTGAAAGAAAACGGATACAAATGTAAATGAGGACTGAAGGGTGGGTTAAGCAAGGACTACAAGTATGTTGGCAGCTTTTTTCAACTTGCAATCACAACCAACTTGTAAGGAGGCCACAAGCAGAGCTACCTTTTCCCACTAGACATCTGTGAGGAACTGATGCTGGAATCTAGTTACCAGTACCACTCTCCAATGTGGATATGCTTTACCTGATACACCAAATGAGAATAAAATTGGCACCCTGCAATCCTAATCAATCTAGGCACTCTTCCAGTGTGGGCAAATGGGGCTACTCAACTCCACATATGCCAGCCTGAAACTGAAAGAGGAGGAAAAAGCACAGTAATACTTTCTTACTAAGCAAAAAAGTCAGTGGCCGTCTTTTTGTTCTATGTTTGTACAGTGTCTAGCACACTGGGGTCCTGGTCCATGACTGGGATTTCTAGGCACAACAATAATACAAATAATAAATAATTGTATTTTTAAAGTGAATTTAATGCTGGTGAAAGGTGTTGGTTTGGTAATATTGGAGACTGATGTTTTCTACTTACAGTACAGACAGCAGTAACACAAGCTGACTCCCGAGAATGTCTCAACCCTGATTTGAATAAACTATTTCTCGCATTCAGAAAGATTGTTCAGCTTCAGTGTGTCATTCAATTATTCACTTCCAATGAGACTGCCAATTTGCAGGCCAATTAGTGACAATAGTGATGATGATTTGTGAAATATGGAAACACATCCTTGCTTGGGGCTGGACCAAAGGTCCATTTGTTTGTTTCATATGGACCACTGAAGTTGGAATATGCTAAATTTCCTATCATCCTGGGCTGGATTCAAACCAGTAACCTAGAGGTGAAAAGCATCATAATCCATTGTTAAAATCTACAGAGTTAAAGTTCTGTTGCATTAAAACAAGGTAGCTAGAACTAAATTACATCATCTCTTACCAACTGTGATCACACCAAGAACTGAATCAGCTACAGAAAACTTGCAGACTATGGAAGATGCTAAGAAAGAAGAAACGTATCATGAAAATCGAAGTGACTGAAAGGCTAGTAAAACATAAGAACGGCCGTACTGGGTCAGACCAAAGGTCCATCTAGCCCAGTATCCTGTCTACCGACAGCGGCCAATGCCAGGTGCCCCAGAGGGAGTGAACCTAACAGGTAATGATCAAGTG